GGCATTGAGTTAGATATCATCAGAATTAGGCTCAAATCTAGCAAGATCAAGTGGCTGTTTAGTCTGGTTATTTTCCATCTTTTCTTCTGTATAGCATTACATTAACAGACAAACAGGTTTACAATTTTGTTTGCCTTCTTGATTCATAGTTCTTGCTCAAAATGCAGGTGGAAACCATGGTTAAGAAGTTGTTTTGTACCTATACAAGGATCAAAAGGCCCTATTCATGACTGGTCTAGTCACTTCATATTTGGTTATTGCAACATACATGCATATATGTAAGTCTCCAATAAGACTACTTGAAAATGACAGCTGATCTAGAATGCACTGAAAATAATTATAGGCACACCTCATTACACCTGTCAAACACAAGGCCCGGGGGCCGGATGCGGCCCGCGAAGTGGTTTCATGTGGCCTGCAAAGCCATCCTGAAAACAGTGAGGGAATGGCCCCCTTTGCTTTGGCCCTAGCCCAGGCTGCCTGGGAGCCAATGTACAATTTTGTGGTGGCTATCTATGCTGAAACACATTCAGTTTTAGCTCCACAAGACCATCTGGAAACAGCAAGGAACCAGCCCCTGCCACTTCGTCCCCACCCCCTGGTGCATGCTGGGGAGGTGTCACCCTTTGTGAGGAATGAAGAAATGCGCCATCACCTGGAAGTGGCCAACAAATAGTCCTCACCTACTTCACATATCCGGCTTGATAGGCTCCAGGGGAGGGGTTTCAGCAGGCAGCGGGGTGCTTTCCTCACAGCGCCGAGAGGCTGAGCCAGGTGCGTGAAACTGATGAGAAGTGCAATGCTGCCTAGCCCCCAGCCTGCCCAGTTTCAGCAGGCAGCAAGGTGCAAAGCTGGCAAGCTTCATACTGCCTGGCTCAACCTCTTGGCACTGTGAGGAGAGCGCCCCACTGCCTACCAAGACCAGGCAGGCTGGGGGCTGGGCGGCATCGCACTTTTTTTCAGATTCATGCTGTTTGGCTCAGCCTCTCGGCACTGTGAGGAGAGCGCCCTGCTGCTTGCTGAAACCAGGAAGGCTGGGGGCTGGGCGGCCGTGTGCAGGCAACATTGACTGTGAAGCTGCTCATGGTATCCCCTCCCCTAGAGCCCGCCAAGCCAGATATGTGAAGTAGGTGAGGACCATGTGCTGGCCACTTCCAGGCGATGGTGCATTTCTTCATTCCTCACAAAGGGTGACACTTGCCCAGCTGCATTTCTTGCCGGTTTTTCTCCCTCCCTCCTCTCAAATATTTTTCTGTCACTCTGTACTTAGGAAGGAAGAAAGGAAAGAAGGAAAGAAGAAGAGGGAGGGTCTGAGGGAAGTCCTACCTTAGTCCTGCCCTGCTGCCCTTTTACCATCCCCTTGCCCCTCCTCCTGGCCTATCCTGGGGGTCTCCCATCCTATTGCTAAGGAAGCTTTGGATACAAAGGTGGGTCTCCTCCCATGGAGAGGAAATGGGCCTCCCTCTGACTTTGCCCTCATATCCATCATGAGCAACCTGGCTAAGGAGAGCAAGCACAGCAGCAGCAGCAGCAGCCTTGAGGAGGAGGTAAGTGCAACTGGGAGCCCCCTTGGGGAAGTGGGGCTGGAATTGGTGCCAAGGGTGCTTGAGCGCCAGGCTGGAAATTTGACCTCTGCTGCCCAGGGCTCCAAGCAGCCTGCACCACCATTCAGCTCCCCGCATGGCCTGAGAGGAACAGGGAGGCTCCTCCAATGGACCATGCCTTGCCACTTGCCATGGTCCTATCCCCTTCTGCCAGAGACCCTCAGATCTGTCCCACTCCTGCCCAGGCCCCCACAGGCACCCTTGATGTGAACGATGTAAGCTGGCCATGCCCACCCAATAGGCCACATCCACTCCATCCATGCCTACCCAGTAGGCTGCACCCACCCTGGCCACACACACATGGCCCCTTGAGGGCAACCGCAATGCTGATGCGGCCCTCAATGAAACTGAGTTTGACACTCCTGCCCTTGGCTGAATTGTTGGAATTCTTAATGGCACAGACTGTACTTTTTCAATTACTTCTGTCCATCTAAAAATATCTTATAAGGTTGGTATGCTCCAGGATCCATCATCCAAGCATTTCCATTCTAAGATATTATTTTATATTTTTTTATTAACCATTCTGAATCTCATGTTAAACAGTCAAGCATATAAAATAAATGAAAAAATGAATGATCAAGGAAACAAACATTGAATAGGTAAGAGGACCCCAAAAGTAGCTGATGGACACAAGACAAACTGTACTGATAAATGTGAATTTCCTGAATCACAGGGACAATTTCAGTATTAATAATACACACATCATATAAGATCTATGCTTATTTGCTGTTTTTGTTAATAAGCTTGAAGGAATAGCCAGCAGCCTAATAGTATTTGCATGTCATAGTGATTTATGAAACTAGATAAATCATATGAGAAGATCCACAGAGATTAGAAAGCAAGACACAAAATAAGAGCATGGGGTTATAGTTATAAAACTGCAGATAACATGAGAGCAAATAGGCTTTATCTTGACCTTCTGCACAGGGATAATTTTGCCTACTGTGCATAGCTTGGCATCCTGATTTATAGCAGCAAGTGCAGTAATGCAGAAAACTGACTGAAAATGTTTGAAATATAAGGTTAAATAGCCTCTTACTACTGTATATAACTTATATTGTTTTAACCATTTTACATCTTTTAAAATCTTATTATTAATGTGTTCCCTGCTCTTCGGTTTCTTTATTTCTTTAAAACTCTTTAATGTCTCATTTTCTTAAACCAATATATGGTAACTTTAAAATGTTATTGCTTAAACTCAATAATTATTTCCATTTGGTTCATTTCCTGTTTAATTTAAAAGTGTAAAGAAATAAAAATAATAATAATAAAGTCCAAGAAAGAAACCAAAAGACCAGAGCACACCCAGCAGTCAACCCTAGATAAGCAGACATTAACACTTTAAGCAATCAATCAAGACAAAAATCAATACCCTAATCAAGAAACTATCAAGGACAAAACCAAAGAGCTACTATATGTAAACAGGGATCAAACTCCATGCTGACTTGCACTGATAATGTTACTTAGTTGGAAAATGAAACATCTGCAAGAGAACAAACAAGCTCAGAGAGCATCAAGGACTCTATAGGCAAACAAGAAATAACTTAGCATGTTGCATAGATTTTTTGTTATATAATGCTTTCAAGATTGTGGCATATTTAAAAACATTCAGGAACTTCATTCTTTGATATAATAGAATTTATGCAGTTGCCAATATCATCCTCACAACTCTGCACAGCTAGCCATGTATATTAAAATCAACATTTTGATAGGAGATTGCTGAAGAAAACATCTTGGTACCTAGTTATACAATAATTATATATTATTATAATGTCTTTTAAATAAAACAAAAATTAAAGATATATACATATATATATGTAGGTCTTTGGTTTTTCGGGTTTTCTCCCACATAAAATTGGAAGTGTCTTGGCGACGTTTCAACTAAGTCCCATTCATCATCTTCAGGCTGGTGTTTTTGGCTTCGTGCTTCACCTGAAGATGACGAATGGGACTTCATCAAAAGTTTTGAAGATTAGTTTGGTTCCTTCAAAATCAATTTCATGTCCTGTAGCTTTAAGGTGCTGGAAGAGGGAGGAAGTTTTTTCTTTTTTTCTGACTGCGTTCTTGTGTTCTGCGATGTGTGCATTTATTCTCCTATGAGTTTGTCCAATGTATGTGGCTGGGCAGATTTTGCATAGTATTTGATAGACTCCTTGGTTTTCTAGCTGGATCATGTCTTTGGGGTTTCTTAAGATGTTGGCTATTTTTTGGTCGGTGCCGAAGGCTGTCTTGATATTGTGTTTGTGGAGAATTTTGCTGATTTTATCTGTGGTACCTTTGATATAGGGGAGGAGGGCGATGTCGTTGTACTGTTCTATGTCTCGGTTCTTTGGGGGGTGTTTCCCTTTGATTAGGTTGTAATTGTATTTCTTTGGAATCCGTTGGAGATTAATATCTTTGTGAGAGTGTACAATTCAGTTTTCAGATGGTCTTTGTCAGCTAGGTGTTTGGTTCTGGAGATGAGGGTTTTGGCTACGGAGTTGATCTGTGCAGGGTGGTGGAGGGATTGTGTGTTTAAGTAGCGGTTGGTGTGCGTTTTTTTCTGGTAGATGGTGTGTCCTAGGGAGCCATTGGGTTTTTTGTAGATTAGGATGTCCAGAAAGGGGAGTTGGTTGTTAGCTTCCATTTCCATCATGAATTGTATTTTGGGGTGTAGGCTGTTGAGAAGTGTGAGGAAGTTGTCCAGTTTTTCTTTCCCATGTGGCCAAATTACAAAAGTGTCTTCTACATATCTGAGCCAGTGTTGGGTTTGTGTTCAGATTTGTCTAAGGTGTTGGTTTCGAAGTGTTCCATGTATAGGTTTGCGATGACGGGTGAGAGGGGTGATCCCACAGGTTCTCCTTCTATCTGTTTGTATCTTTGTCCATTGTGGATGAAGTATGTTATGTTTCGGTATTTTTGTTTACTTAAATGAAAAAGAAACTACTTTGATGTTGAATTTATTAACTACAGCAAGGTTATTAGTAGATTTATATTGGAAGAAAGATTCCTTGCCTACTTTAGAAGAATGGATATTTAAAGTATCTAGTTTTGCAGAAATGGCAAAAATTTCTGCTTATTTAAAGGATCATACACAAGAAAGATATATTATTGTATGGGGAAGGTGGATAGATTATATTCAGAAAAAGTATGTAATTAAAAAGTTTCACTTATTTTATGAATGAATATTAAATATTATAGAGAATTGTTTCATAGGTTATGGAGTTAAAGGTTAATTATGATAATTTTTTCTTTTTTCTTTTTTTTTTCTATTTTCTTAATTATTATAAATTTTGTTATTATTAACCCTGTATTCTGCTCTGGGAAGTGAAGGGAGGGGGGTTGGGGGTGGGAGGGAGGATAAGGGTTTTTTTTTTCTACTTTAAAATTTTATTGTATTTTTATAAATGCTTGTATGTTAAAAAATAAAAAAATTCAATAAAAAATAATAATAAAAAAAGGATGTTTTGTTTAGGCAGTGGTTGGTCAGATCTAGGATGTGCTTAGGGGGGATTGTATTTGTTTTGCATAGCTGTCAAGGCTTCTTTCATAGGCACTTAGGTGAAGAGGGATGTGACATCGAAGCTCACGAGTAGGTCGCTGGGTTGTAGGTTTTGTTTCTTTATTGTTTCTATGAAGTGGAGTGAGTTTTGTACATGTGAGGAGATGGATTCTGTGTAGGTATAAAGCTGTTTGGCGAGAAATTTGGCAAGATTCTGTAGAGGTGAGCCTATGGAACTGACTATAAGTCTGAGTGGTGTTCCTTCTTTGTGAATCTTGGGGAGGCCATAGAGCTTGGGGCATCTGGATGATTTCTCTCTGGGGATGATTCTTTGATGGATCTCTTCACTGATAGGAGAGGCCTTTATTTTGGATTTGGTGGTTTTTTCCAGGTAGGTGTTGGGGTCTGTGTTTAGAGGTTTGTAAGTGGGGTCTTGGAGTAGGTTGGATAGTTTGGCTTGGTAGTCTGATGTGTTCATCACTACCGTGGCATTACCTTTGTCTGCTGGGAGAATTATTATGTTGTTGTCTTTCCTCAGGTTGGTGAGTGCTTTTTGTTCTTTATGTAAGTTGCATCTAGGTGGATTGCTGGAGAGGAGGATGTTGGTGACTTCAAGTCTGATTTTATTGGCTTCATCTGGGTTGATTTTGATTAGGGTAGCTTCAACTCCACATATGATGTTTTCAGTGGGGATGCGTTTGGTTGAATCCTTTGGAACCATTGATTTCTGCTGTGGTGAGGGTCCTGTCTGATATGTTGTGTACTGTTCGTTTCATGAGTTGCTGTGGAGGGGGTTGGGCTTTTGGCATTTTTCTAGCCTGTGGAGTTTGTTGGTGTGTGTGTCTGTCTTGTGGGAGGTTTCTGTTTCAGCTCTCCAGAGGGCTAGTTGTTTGGATTTTCCCAGAGTGCTGGGTGGATTTTGTTGCTGAGTTTGAGGTGAAGAGTGAGTTGGTCCCTATTGGTTTGGTCTAGTAGGAATCTTTTCCTGTGGAGTTCGTTTCTGATTAGAGCTAATTCAGTTCTTTTCAGGATCCTTTCAGTGGCTGAGTTTTTGGAATGGAATTTTAGTTGGAAGCAAGTGGGGATCACGTTTTTGTCTCGGCAGTTGCGTAGGAATGTGAGGTCACATAAGATGGTGGCTCTTTGGACTTTGAGTTTTTCATAAGTCCTGGTGAGCAGGAAGGTTTCCTCCCCATAGAGGTAAGATATTTGTTTTCGTACATTTTCACAGGTGTATTCGGGTCTTTTCCCATGTAAGATTGAGACTCACCAACCTGAGGAAAGACAACAACATAATCATTCTCCCAGCAGACAAAGGTAACGCCACAGTAGTGATGAACACTATCACAAACACAATATCAAGACAGCCTTCGGCACTGACCAAAAAATAGCCAACATCTTAAGAAACCCAAAGACATGATCCAGCTAGAAAACCAAGGAGTCTATCAAATACTATGCAAAATCTGCCCAGCCACATACATTGGACAAACTCATAGGAGAATAAATGCACACATCGCAGAACACAAGAACGCAATCAGAAAAGAAGAAAAAACTTCCTCCCTCTTCCAGCACCTTAAAGCTACAGGATATGAAATTGATTTTGAAGGAACCAAACTAATCTCCAAAACTGAACACCACAACAAGAGAATAATTATGGAAGCCATCGAAATAGATAAACACCCCCTCAACATGAATAAACGTGATGATACCTCCCACCTACCAGACATCTGGAAACTAGCCCTAATCAACAAATGAGTCCTAACCACAAAAACTGACTCTGGACCCAGAACAACACAGTACGCCACCACCATTCACTCTCATCAGACCCAAACCCAAGCCCAAACCTATCCCTCAGACGAAATGCAACCATCATCCAGAAGCCAAACCATGACGACATCATCAGCTGCTGTACCCCCCTCCCACCCCCACACAAAGCAAATGGACACAGAGCTAGACCGCAAACTCGGAGCCAAACCAAAGCCCGGCATGTTACATCACAGCCTTCTGCTCTGGACATCACATCCCAGAACTCAGGAGGTTACAACACAGCCAACCACCCAGGATGTTGCAACACAGAAGTCAGGATATCACTACACTAGATCTCAGGATGTTACCACACAGCCCATTACCCAGGTCATTACAACACAAAAGACTAATGGGCACACAGCCAGGACCTCAGTTACTCAGGATGTTACAAAACAGCCAAACAATCCACAAACAATGGCTCCAACACAGCCAACCAACCCACCTACAGCAACTAAGCCAGCACTCCACACACCCCCACCAATATGTATAGAGAGACGGCAGCTCCGATCACACTTTGCTCACACAAGCACGAAGCCCGAAGACCCCAGCCTGAAGATGATGAGTGGGACCTCATCGAAATGTCACCAAGATACTCTCAATCTTACATGGAAAAAGACCTGAATACGCCAAGACCTGCATACCTGTACCTGTGAAAATCTATGAAAACAAATATATATATTAGTGTGCCGCTCATCTTGTCTAGAAATAAAATACTATATATTGTTGTCTACCACTATATAATTTCATATTCAGTTTATAAGGATATTTATGTAACACCAATGGAATTGTATGTATAGCAATATCAGTAAACTATAAATATTACTTATTATATCATAATCAGTTTTGGTTTTGACTGGTTTGAGGTGGCAGTGGGGGATAAATCAGCTGTACTGAATAAAACAGTAGACTAGAAAAATTCCTGAGTCTTGCAGGATCTTAAAGGCTAACCAATTTATTAACATATGATATATAATATCCTGATCCTCTTCACCTGAAGTAGTTGAGATGAGGAAACAAATTTTAGAAATGTGTTTGATAATTAAAATTACTTCATTTATAAGGCCTCAAATCACTTTAAAACCATAAATGTTTTCAGCACTATCTGTAATAATGTGCTTCCTCATTTTCTACAATTTATGAAAATTCAGCTCTTTAAACTTCAGCCCTTCATAATACAGACACTCAGTTAAATGAGTAAATGGTCATTAAAATAAAACATTTATATCAAGCAATTAAATAAAGTAATATTGCCCTCAGCGAAGACAATATTTACCATTATAGGAAAGAGTTGTCATGTCAGCCAGTATAATTCTAATGGTAATAAAGCATTATCTCTGTATTATTTTTATCTACTAATTATTATTATACAGTTACACAAATTCTTCTTGACTTACATTTTTTCAGCAATTTTTACACTTCTGGATTAAATGAGATTGGTAGATTATTACACAGTGAAATGTATTCTTAAGAGTGGTGGTAAAGGACCTATGAAATGTAATGAAAAAATATTTGTTACAGTGGATGTTTTGCTACAATATCAATTTATACATGTTTAGAAACTACTGGAAAGTTTGTGTGCTATGAATGAGATAAAATGGAAGTTATTCAGGAAACATTGACACTTAAAAGAATAGCTGACAATATGTGGCAAGATTCTAGTTCTGGTCTGAGTATAGCTGAATCAAAAGTTAAAAATCATAAAGGGTTGTTACGGTATGTAATCTGAGATCAGTTGATCACAGCTAGATGACTTCTATCTGGCATGTAGATAAAAGAATGAGAAAAAATCTGTGAAAGTAAATATTTATGCTTGTTGACATCAAAATGAAAACCTAAGGCCTTTCCCCACAGCTGCACTAATGTTCTATATTCTAGTCACAGCATAAAATGACCTTCCTGTTTTGTTTTGTAGGAAATCAGCATTCCCCCCAGAGAAGGAAATATTTTGGGAGATATTAAAAAAAGAAAGAATATTATATTTCTCCAAAAGGAATAATAGAGAAAAAAATCTTAAAAGGCTTTTCTGACCTGTCTGCCTCAGACAGAAACTGACTAGGCCAGTTTTTTTTAGAAATGCAGATTTGATAATCCTATTCAGAAAGACTGGGCCACCTATTCATAAGCAAAATGCCTTCGGCCACAGCCCCACAGAAGGTTTGAGCAGATGGGATTAGAAAAATAAAGACTCCAAGGATAGGAACATGATCTTTAGAACATAATAGGATTAACCCACCACCATTAGAATACCAAAAGGGCACACTCAAGCTCAGGTCAAAGTACATTGCACAGTGGTCAAGTCCCAGCTGAAAAAGCCCAATCAAGCAAAATGGCAGAATCACTGCTTTCTCAAATGTAAACTTTTATTGGACAACAATCAAACTGGCATAACTGATTCATGGTGGGCTACAAACTCAGGCATCACTTTGCAGTTTTGCTTTAGCTGCTGCATAAATGCATCAATGGCAGGTGAACCCCTCTTTTTCTCTTGCCACCTTGTGAGGCTTACAACTTGTGAGGCTCGTTGTGTCTTGGGGACAACAGAACTCACCACCTCCTGCCAAGTACTACTGTATTGGGGCATGAGGGATAGGGCTCCACCCAGGAAATTCTTCCCCTCCAGGATGTATTTCAGCTCAAAATTGAAACTTTTAAAATACTGCATCTACCTGGCTTACTTAGGAGAAAGCTTACGAGGGGTTTTCAGGGCTTCCAAATTTTTGTGATCAATCCACACTTTGAAAGGGACCTGACTCCCTTTCAGGAACTGCCTCCAAGTTAAAAGCGCTGATGCACTGCGAAAGCCTCTTTCTCCCACACCGCCCATCTCTATTCCACTCCATTTGGTTTAGCTTGGGAGATGTGTACATTCAGGGCTGTAAGTTCCCCTCCCCATTGTGCTGGAGAAGGACAGTTCTGACAGACACATCACTGGCATCTGCCTGGATCATGAATGCTTTAGCACTGGATGCTTTAGCACTGGCTCAGTGGTGAATTAGTCCCTTCAGTCTCTCAAATACTGCTTGACATTCCATCATCCAGTTCAGGGGCTGATTTGGCTGGGGTTTGTCTCCCCTTTTCCCATTTTTAAAAGCTCAATGATTGACAGGGCAATATTGGCAAAAGAAGTTATGAACTGCCTGTAGAAGTTCGCAAAACCTAGAAAACTTTGCAGCTGCTTGAGGGTACGGGGGGGGGGGCTGTCATTCTAAAATGGATTTCACCTTTCCTGGTCCATTTCTATTCCCTCACATAACACTTGATAGCCCAAGTAGTTGAGCTTAGACTTGTGAAACTTGCATTTTGACAGCTTGGCATACAGTTTAGCATACAGCAACTTTTTCAGCACGTGTTGCACAAGTTTCATATTCTCGTCCATGGTCTTGGTATAGATGAGGATGTCATCAAGATACACTAGAACTCCCTTATAAAGATGTTTATGCAGCACCTCGTTTATGAGTTGCATGAATACAGCACACACACCCACAGTCCAAAAAGCATCACCTTGAACTGGTAGCTACCAAGGGGGTAATTGAAGGCTGTCTTCCACTCATCACCTTCCTTAATTCTCACCTGGTAATATGTCTCTCACAAGTCCAACTTTGTGAAGATCTTCCCCTTGGCCAAATGCACTAACATGTCCTTTAGAAGGGGAAAGGGGTACATATTTTCCACACACACCCCATTAATCCCACAAAAATCCATGCACAATCTCAGTGACCCATCTTTCTTTTCCTTGAAAAGTATGGGGGTTGCAACTCGAGATTTTGCTGCTTGAATGAACTCCCTCACCAGGTTTTTGTCAATATACTCTCTCAGTGCCTTTATATCTTATGGTGTCATCTTTGGTTTAGGCAGTTTTGCCCCAGGTAAGATTTGAATAGCACAGTTCGTGGGGCAGCACATCACATTCCCTCTCGCTGAACACCTCCATGAGGTCTAAGTATTCCCTCAGGATGGATTGCTTCTCCTTCCCTTCCTCTGATGCTCTCTTGCTGCACTCAGTAGGCCTTCCTTCTCCTACTAATCTTCAAGTTGCTCTTCTAACTTGCCTGGGGGGTTCCAGGGCCCACTTCCCTATAATCATTCTCCTTGTGTCTCGCTCCCAATAGATTCTGTGATCCCATCTTGGCTCTGCCATCATTGGGGTAACCATAAAGCAAATAGTCTCTAGATGCTTCCCCAGCTGTAGTTGAACCAGCTCAATCAGGTAAGACTGACTCTGCCTCCTATCAGCAAGCCATCAACTTGTTCAAACTTCATGGACTTCTTAAGCGTCCTCATGTGCAGCCCTAATTTCTGCACCATGGCCTGACTAATTAGGCAATGAGAGCTATCAGAGTCTATGAGGGTTTTTACCATTCCCTTTGACCGTCAGGGGTCACCCATCTGATGGCGTCATGCTTCCACCACTCTAGCCCTCTGCCTTCCTCAGGCTGAGGGCAGTACAATCAGAGTTCAGCTTCAATGG